TTTTAAAAAAAAACATGAAAATAAATCACTTGACCACTATATAGATAAGGACCTAAATGTTTTTACTGTCAATAAAGTTTTCTTAAAAATAATTTTATAAATCGGTCATTTTGCAATACTATATATTTTTATTTTTTTTATTTACGAGATTAAAAAAAAAAAATTAAAATTAAAATGTATATTAAACGTACAGTGCAGCACAATTAAATAAATTAAAAGAAAAAAATTAATAAAAAAATTTGATTAGAATGAAAAGAACATTAATTTATTTTGCTGGTATTCCTGCTATACTCTGTTTATTATATTATAATTAATTGAAATATCACGTGTTACAGAGAACGTCGAAACGAGCTACGTGTTGAAGGCCAAGCTCAAAGAAATGGAAAATAGCACGTCGTACGTGCAAGTCGAAAGTTTTCGCTCGTATCCGCCGAAATTTGGTGAAACGAAAATCTTTGCCAGCGATCTAGTGCCGGGGAACGCGGTGTTGAGTGAGTATTAATTTTAATATTTCGATTATTATTTGGACTAAATAGTAATAACTTACTATCATCGTGATATAACGAAAATCACATGCTCTCTGTAAAATATAATATATTATACCTACGAGTGTTATATTATTATTTTTTTTTTTTKAAGACAATTATTTACAATCTGTATAAAATTTTTAAGAAAAACAAATTTGATATTCACATTAATTAAGATTAAAATAACATGAGTAACGCGTTGTGGAAGAAACCCATTTGTTTCTCTTCTACTATTGGTCTCCTATTTACTAATTTAATTGGTTACCTAACGGTTTAGTCTACGTGATGGAATTTTTTAGGTAGCGTAACGATGGACATTTGCAGGGATATTTAAGTATCTACATGCGTTCTTAGATTTTKAYGTCAGTGTTAGCACATTATTTTGGCTAGTTCAGGGGTAGTAATTATTTTTAAGTCGTTGTGGAGAGATTATTATATTATTATGGTAGTAAAGTTAATATGGTATAGGYCAGCGGTTCCCAAACTATGAGGCGCKAGCTGCGTGGTAAACAAAYTATATTTTTAAATCAAAAATAATTTAGTAMAAATAAATAGCTTCACTGTAAAACTATACTTAATTCGGGAATATTCAGAAAGTCATTACATCTAGTCATCTAGATATCKCGCGCGTCTATTGAATATCATCGAATTTTCTGAGCTTGCTGTATTAAAATCAAAATATCAGTCAACATTTAATTGGCTGTCACGAYATTGCTACCTAACTTTGAAGAATTATTAAATGGAAAACAATAATTTTTAACTATGTATCTAAAAGTGAAGTTATTAAAAGGTTAATATTAAATATTAATGTTAAATAGATGATTCTTTT